ACTTGCTTGTCCAGTGTAGTGTTTTATACGTTGTTTTCAGCTCCTCTTTTCGCTGTTCATCCCTGCACTGCTCTGGTTCATCTTCTGCTCCACCATCTTCCTCTCCCTCCTCTATCAGCCTTCCATGTGTCCGCCGAGATCCTTTCCTTATCTTCTTTCTCCTTCCTTCCTGATACGGTTATGCAGGTTTCCTTCAACATCTTTTTCAAAGAGTTCAAGTGTTCTTCCACACAGGATTCTCCGGGGATGTTGCTCACTTAGAGCCAGACACTATCTTCAATTGTCCAAGGTTGCCTCCAATGCCTACGCTTTTCTGCACTTCATGCGCATGCAACCCCAACCCTAACTCCACACAATTCAGTGTTGCAAACCCACCGTCGAATCCTCTGTAACGCCAATATCATCACGAACTCGGTTCAACCTTACTTCGCCATAGACATCTCAAGTTACCATCTCCTGCTAATAGTATATCTATCTGTATTCCCGCAAGCCCTCCTATAATGTTATTTGCTCAGTCTCTTCCTACTTAGGTCATGTTCTCATGCTATTTAATGGAAGCTCTCCCTGTCAGCCTTCTCCCATGAATCTGCCAAGGTTTCTTCTTCCGTTGCATTTCCTCCGTCTAATCGTTTTTTCTGCTTACTTCCACTCCTGATTTCTCTGGACATATTTTGTATCTTTCTTTTACAGCCAGTCCGGACAGCTGTCTGCTGGCAAGAAACTTGATGAAACCATCCGCCCCACAGTCCCATAAAAAATCCACACACACCCTACAAACTTAACCGACACCCAACCACCCATAGGGCTGTCCAGAACTGCAGTATTCCCGTGGGTAGACCAACTGCATCGGAATCCACCAAAGACCTTGGACCTTTCTGCAAGACCCGGAAGCGAGCACGAAGAAATTAACTGCTCTACACTTGCTCGTGAAAAGATATTTGATATCCAAAAATCTTTTTGAAACTACAGAGGAAAGAAGAGTAACTGAGGCATTTCGCACTATCTCGAATCCCAATGCAGCAGCAGAAAGCAAAGCCTGACTGCTCAGCAGACCTGGATAGTATATTTAAAGTGGCCCATCACGCACAGCGATCGGCGTGCACACATAAGCGTCTAGAATTCGTCTTCCATGATATTATTCCCCACACGTTTACACCCAGTTTTATGTGCGCACATTCCTATCACTTTTAGCTCCGAGCTGGAGACGGAAAGCAAGGGTAATTTCAGAAGTATCCTGACCAACATAAAAAAGACATTCCCCGGGATTATCTCCAGAGAGCTAATTAGATGAGATTTAGTATTTTACGGATCAAAGTTTGTGGTGGTGACAGACCATAAGATCAGCAGTCTTGATCGTTAGAATCCTTTGCTAGGCGTTCAGGTACCTTCTTATTTACTGCTGCTGACGTAGCGGAAAGAATTTTCATGTTGATACAGCCAAAATGAATTTTCAAGTTTTACCCACCTCTGCTTGCTCTCCGTTTAACTGTACACATACTAACAACCACAAGATCTAGTGAGCCACACACCCTGGACACGGAAACCAGTCAAGCGAAAGCTTCCGTTTCGTGAGTAACCATTCGAATCGTCTGGATAATCCTGAGAGAATAGGAATTAGAACTGGAGTCATGTGAGACGACTAACAGTCTCAATGAGATGTTCATTTTTTGATATCCCGTCATGCCGTCTACCCCAGTTCCAGATGTCTAAGTCCTGAGGCTTATATTCCGTCTTATATTAAGTCATATATGCTGAGAGATAAGTCATACTTCTTATCAATTTAACTTTATAAAATCTTATCACTGCCTTGTAGTGCACGTGCAGGTTTCAACTCTTTGGTTTTACGACCCAAATTTACTTGTCAAACGCAGCGATGTCGCTATGTGTTGCAGTTTCAATAATATCCCGGACTACTTTTCAGGCGTCGGAGGTCACAAGACTCATATTTATTATGTAGAAGTTTGTGAGCACCAAGTTTTATCGGTGTTTTGGCCTTCAATTCATTTTTCTCGTTCCATGTTTAGCGCTGATCTTATCACTTGCTAAATTCCTTAATCCAGCTCCCAGAGCCTCTACGGTGCTACTTCACTCTCCACTGTACCAAATACCTGCTCGGGGTCAAATATCGGTCCCCCACCAGCTCCTCTTAACATAAGGAAATGATCGTCAAGGCTATCTTAACGACTTCCTCTGCAAATTACGATTCCGTAATCATTGCCGGCGTCTTCAACACCCCGTTCATCCCCTTCGAGACGGAAGGGAGACGCATCAGATCCTTCAATCAGAAGCTAAAGGATGCAATTAAGACTGCTGGCCTCTCAGAGAAAGTGGGTGATACCACACGCTGGGGACCTAACGGAAACGTATCGCGCCTTGACTACGTTCTGACGAACGATGAACTTCTCATTGAGGACGTTTGCATCCAACCTCCCCTTGGCCTCAGTGACCACGCTGTAATCCCGTTCTCCATGATTACTAGGTAGGCTCTGCAACTGGAGACGCCCAACACCTTCCCTTGCCATAGCAAGGCCAACAGTGAGACCATGAGGGACTATCTTATGAATGCATCATAACCGGTAGACTGGACTCATCTCGCAACAGATGAACACTGGTTGGAGGTGAAGAAACTAATGACTGGGGCCACCAGTCACAGTGTACCAGAGGTAACACATAGACCGTCAGTGAGAACCTCATGGTTAAAGCGTGTGACAGAGAGGCTTATCCAGAGCAAGAAGCGGGCTTGGTTCAAGTGGCGTACATCACGCAGGGAGTCTGACTTCTTGAACTACAAAAGGATTCGCGACCGCTATTACATTAGATTTCGTAGCGACAGATTTGCCTACCAAACAAACCTGACGGAGACGTTACAAAGCAATCCCAAAAAGTTGTACCGCCTCGTGTCGAGATGAAGGTCGACCAGTAAGGGAGTGAATCCTGTCACAGGCCATGAAGGGAGTACACTAGGCAGTCTAGAGATTGCCGAGCTTTTGAGCTCACAATTCCAAGCCCAACTTAGCACTGACACAAGATCCACACCGACTCGCCATGACACCGACCAGGTCGTGAATAACAAATACCTCTGTCACGTCTCTATTACAGAGAAAAAGTGTTCGAGGAACTATCTGGGCTACTTCCAGGCTAGCCCCCCGGCTGCGATAACCTAAAACCAGTGGTTCTAAAAACTGCGCCGAGGTGCTTACTAAACCACTTCGCAACCTTTTTGAGCACTCAATAGAGTCGTGCAAACTCCCTAAAGAATGGAAGGGCGCCATCTTGTCATTTATCTTCAAGGAGGAGACAGAAAAAGCCCTGGCAGCTACAGGCCAATTGCCCTACTCCCCTAAATTGTTAGATAACACTATCTGGGAATTCCTCAATAGGGAAAACACTGTGCATACTGCTCAGCATGGTTTTCGAAGTGGTCGCCCATGTGCCACCAACTTACAAACCGCCTGGGATAACTGGACACAAAGCTGGGATAACAGAAAACCGGTACATGTTGTATTTCTCGACCTAGCCAAAGCATTTGACAGTGTCCCACCTACAGTACTGCTTCACAAGATCATGTCAGCTGGTATAAGTGAACCCCTACTCTCTTGGTTCAAGGAGCACCTGGAAGGGAGGCAGTTCTGCACCAAAGTAAGCAGAATAAGGTCGGAGTGGAGACCCTCGACGTCAGGAGTATCCCAAGGAGCAATCCTAGGACCGCTTCTGTTCCTCCTGTTTGTCAATGACCTGCCAGATAAAATATCCTCACCCATCCCCCTCTTCACTGACGACATAAAAATTTGGAGGGTGGTAAACGAAGAAGCTGATTGTGCAGCACTACAAAAGGACTTGCAGCAACTCGAGCTCTGGTCGTCGGAAAATGGCCTGAGCTTCAACCTGGAAAAGTGCAAAGTAATGCACACCAGTAAAAATGAAGCAAGTACGACCAACTTCCAGTACATGTTGAGCAACCGTGCTATCACCAGAGTTTGTATGGAGAAAGATTTGGGGCTCAACTTCTCCGACACCTTGAACACCAGCTCCAACTACAAAGGTATGACAACCAGGGTGAATGCAATCCTACACTTTCTGCGTAGACAGCTTGGCGCCCTCACTCCCCAACTCTTCCTCACCATTTTCAAATCCTACGTGGGGCCACATCTAGAGGTCTTCAATACGGTGACTCCTCCAACACTCAAGAGAGACTCTAATCTCCTTGAAAGAATACAAAGAACTGCAACAAAATCTGTCGTGGGGCTAAGAAGAAAGACGTATCACGAAAGACCTAAACAACTAAACCTATTTACCTCGGGTTATCGCAGCAAGAGGGGTGACCTTATTATGGCATACAACATCGCCCATCAGGCAGACCGCGAAAACAGATCAATTTTGCCTGCAACTCAACGATCTTCATGAGGAAACCTCATTAAGATAGCACACCAGAGAGCCAACACCATACTTAGGTCCAAAATTTTACTCCCTGAGAGTATGTGCTCTATGGAATGCCTTACCGCAACATATCGTTATAGCTCCCTTAGTCGACTCATTCAAGAGACGATTAGACAGTTACGTCACATTGTATGGTCTACCACGGACGTACTCAGGTGGTCAGCAACCTCACTAGCCCACAACTCCCTCCTACCCACCGCTTACTCTCTCCTTAATACACCCACATTTTCTACGCTCATACAATCACTACTGGATATTGGATTCCTTGTTGTTTTCCGACTCGTCCACTCTCCGATGTGGATTCTAGGATTAGAGAAGTATGAAATTTTGATTACAAACCACGCTTCTTCTGACAAGCTTTACGAGCACCCAATAATGCACACTGAATACCAGCGCTGCATAGAAGGCGTGGCTGAATTTTCCACTTTGGAAATCAACATACATCTGTAAATATTCTAATGAAAGTTTAATTGAACGAAAATAAGCCAATTTTATTCATGTTGCCTCACAGGAAGCACATTAGTTATTGTAGATTACTATTGGATATTGGATGTAGCGTTACTAATGTGTTTGGACGAGGTAGTTTCAGTTGGCGGTGTGTAGCACCCAGAAGCATGGTATGCCTGTTTAATAGTTTTACGAAGTGTACCTTTGTAGGCTCCTATTTCGGTTAAAGATATAGATGGACACGTGTTCATCAAAACACTAGCTCAGTTCCTGAAGAAGTAAGACTGTTGTGATTACTAAGCGATTGTACCTTAGATCCGGCAAAGTGAAGTTACCCGATTGGACTGACGTTGTCAAGCTGTCAGCAGCCAACCAGCTGGCACCATATGATCCCGATTGGTTCTATGTGCGTTGTGCTGCTGTTCTTCGACACCTGTACATCAGACCATCTGGACTAACTGGTCTTAGCAAGGCATTCTCTCGGAAAAAACGCAATGGTGTTAGACCATCTCACCGATCCCTGGCACATGGATCAGTCATTCGGAAAGCAATTCAACAAATGGAGGCACTTGGGTTTTGTCAAAAGCGTGAGAATGGGTAAGTTAGTATTCATCGAATAAGTGTAGTGCAACAGGCTTCTCGCGTTCAGACTACTGTCATATCTGATTGGAAGCGATTTATAGTATGCTTATTACAGCGGTTATTGTTTTAACTTTCCCCTCCAAGATATTTCAGTGTCTTACATGAGTGTAAAATAATCCAAGGGTCCTTTATACCGTCTTGTTACGTAGTAGCACGGTAGCTTGGTCCCTCTTTATCGATAACTTGTGGTGAGTGCGAGAACAAGTTGTATTGGACCCTCAATAAAGACACAAATTCGCGCAACTAAAAGTCTACGATTGAGCTGGAAGTATATGTAGGAAACCACTACTGTATGTGCACCGGTAACGCCGCAGCATGTGATAGTGAAGTAGCGGACTTTTCATTTCTAAGTCACAATGTTCTGTTTAGAATTTCAGTTATAAGGATGGTAGGCCATTTGGCCTGTGTTAATCCTTGCAGAAGATATTTCTGTGAAAATCTAGTTTCTCATTGAACGCGCTGACTGAAGGCGCTGATACCACTTGCTGAGGTAAGTAGTTCCAGTCGTTGACATGATGGGAGAAACGCAGATTCTTGCTAAGTTGATTCGATCGCGGTTTTTAAATTTTCTTGTGATGCCCTCCGAGATAGTCATTTTTAGTAGGGGGGAAAAGATGAAACATAACAGTACCGAAGTCATTAAGAATACGAAATGCCAGTACTGGATCACCTCGTTTCCTACTGTGAGACAGGGGGAATAAGTTTAGCTGATCTAGTCATTCCTCACAGGACAGATTCGAAAGGACTGTCACAAGCTAAGTCCCTTTTGAACACGCTCAGGTACATCAGCATTCTTCTTAGGCATGGGCTAGCCGCATGAACGCACAAATCCAAGTGAGGTCAAGCGCAAGTAGAATAGAGTATTATAATGTCTTGGTAATAATATTTGGAAGCTCTGCGGATAGACCATAACACGCGGAAGCCTTTTGCTACAGCTGCCGAGGTTTTCAAATCATGACTAGTGATGACACCCAATTCTTCTAGTTCAAAGGTTGGGATAAGTGTTGTACCATCAACGGAATACTGGGAACAGTTTCTGTAACTAATTTTTATTATTCCACCTTTGTTGGAGTTGATTTCCAGGCACCAACGTTTGGACCAACCTACTAGTTCATCTAAATCCTCCTGAAGTGCATACCTATCTGCATCACTACGTCCACATGCTTCCAAGTAACTTCGCGTGCGTGCCACAAATTTGTACTGACTGCATGCGGATTCCTTCGAGCAAAAAAGTCATTGCGTTAGTGATAGTGGGCTGATGTCTTGATTCACCTTTCGTTGTGTCCTGGTCACTTTACACAGATGAAGTCCCACTGGTTTCCTGTGTACTGAAAGCCCCCTGTATTGGTTCAGAAATGACTTCGCATTATCCCAAACAAGACTAAATGTACGACATACCAAGCCTGCTGTACCAGATTTTTCTATCTTAATATGCTATTCATCCTAAATACTATAAGTTGGATTCTGTTTTTCACTGACTATCTATGATCGACTAATACTGCCCTCATAACTTATCCAAAAAGTAATATTCAGAGCAAATTTCTTTATTTGCTGCATAAAATGGATCTTATCTCTTTATTCCTTTTAGTAAGCGCTGTTTAAAGTATCGATTTTACTGATTGTATTTGACTTGTGAATCCCCCGTTTTCACCTATCTTTATGATTTGTTTTCAGTGGAAGGTGTCTAACATCTGCTGGAAGGCGGGATTTGGATAGATTAGCCTATCAAATTTCAAGAGAACGTCGCTAATGCATTCAAATACATTCTTTTGGCATAACTATGTCTTTTTAATTGGGATCGAAATTGCATGTACGCGAGATCTTATTAGTTTCCTCCGCTGGACTTGAATGTTAGCAGTCTGCGTCGTGACATTTAACGCTCGATAACATGAATTAGAAAAGCATGTTGACCTCTTTGTTCCAGCTGCTGCTTCCGCGCTAAATACTTCTAAGCGACCAAACGGATCTTTAGTCGCTTGTTAACTTCAGGCTTAGATAGACATTGAAAATTATTTCCGGATTAGGGTTCTGCGATGAGACCCAGAAAGTGCTTTTAACGTGCTTTTTCACGTCGTGTCGTTACGTTGATTCGTGGTATTACGAACCTATTTATGAGCCTGTCTAGAAGGCTACATACATCTCAGCTGTTCGCATAGTCTAGTTCCTCATGGGGTTCGTCTTGTCCCTTCCGTGATGGTCATGGCTGTCGAGGTGGTCGTAGCTTCTACTATTCCGCAGTGATAGCGTAAGTAATGCCTTGTAACGGTTTTACATGTTCGGCGTACTTATCCTGTGACGGAACACGGTTGGTACTTGGTCTCTGTAGTATTCTCTTCGAATCACCCCTTTAGGAAGGGCATCTATTATCTAGTGCATCGCCTTTACTTTTGGAAAGTGCTAGACTTACGCAATGGTTACTGCGAAAACAAGCTGGTTGGACTGCGAATTGTAGTACAATTTAGCGTCTCCAAGTGGTTTTGTGATAGAACGCTATGACAATGGGGAACTGATATGTGCTTTCGACCAACAGGCGTAAGTCGTGGGACCGCGGATGTAGCGAAACAGGCAAGCAGTAAGGGTTAAGTTTGAACTTAGAGGTAGTTTATCTAGCTGAAGGGAGTTTCTTCAGATCGGCAGTCAGTACGGGAGATGTTTTCGGAGGGAAGCGGGGTTTTCCGTTGGTAGAATGAAGTAGCGCGGAAGTCAAAACATTTCCAGCTAGGTGCTACGTCTATACCTCCGCTTCGGCTTTTGTTATCAAAACTATGCCAGCAATCTGGAATAAGTTTCTGATTCTCCGTAGATCATAACCGTTGCAAACAGATATGATTCATTATTTCTATTACATGAAGAGACTTTTCAGTCTCTACGGAATATGGTAAGTGGGTAACATGGAGGACCAGTCGTGACAAATCTGAGTTCCGCGAAAGGGAGTAGAATTTATCCAGAAGAGTGCAAAAGAACCTCAAAAGTAGCTTGAAGTAAGTTGATTAAAGGTGTAGACAGTTTTAACAGCGGGTGTTTATGTCGAAAGCAACCGAGAATTCCCACTTAGGTATATGCAGCAAAATATCGAGACTGATATGAAGATAATGATCGTTTACTTTCAGTACAATTAGCCGCTCTTAAAATGAAATACGTGAGTGCAGAACATCCCAGCAAAACCATCCACATGGTTTCAACTTGATACTCAGGTACCTGCAATACATTCAAGTGGTTTGTGGGCACTTAGCTGCATTCATGCTGAATGGTGACGCATATTTGATACTCGAAATAACCAGGTTTCCCAAAGGAATCCGACTAACCTAATAGCGTGCTTATCATCGTCCCACTTCCCTAGGAAAGAAAGTGGGAGCTGTGGTTCGTAAGTTCGGGAAGGTGGCTTTCAGGTAATAGGTCGCGAGTTGGGACACCGCTGCATCTACGTGGTTTGGGGAGCTTGGTCGTATCATTAGCCTTCATATAATAGGCGTGGTTCATTGACTACTTCACGAATGTGCGCAAGATTGCTGAGTGCATTTCATTCCCTTCTGTATCCTACTTGAAATAACATCCCCTAAGTCCGATTATTTCTCCTGCTCAACGACAACAGCACTTTTGAGACCGGATTTCGAACCTCATTCATGACTGTATAAAAGCTTGTGGGGAGTTCTCATTGTTCCTGATCTATGAAGTTATTTTCATTGGAGGGATCTACTCCTGCTACTATTCCAGGGTTCAATTTTGTCAACGTATGATACTAGGAGTGACGGTTTCCGTAATCATCTGATACCTGAGACGATGGTCCCAGATAAACTCGAACTACAAAAGGAGAACCAGTGGTTGTCTGGAATCTCATGAAAGGACAACCACAAAGCTGAGCAGCCCACCATGGTACCTGCGACTGCAAGGTTAAAGTGATGCAGACAAAAAACCTCTTGCTCCTATCTCAAAGCAAAGCTGTGGAAAGGTTGCTTGGATGTAGATTTCGAGGCTAAGCTTCACTGTAGAAAAGGATGTCGGTTGATACGGTTTTCACTTCGATCCAAACGAGTTGCTGCAACACGTTGAGTCAATGCATATTTCGTTGTGAAATGTTGCTGGCATATTAGGAGAAAAGATGAAAACACCAGGTGGCCATTCAAAGGTGATATATTATCCCGTGAAACTTTGAAATGACAGTGAGTCGCACGGAACAATAACCCTAGTTAACTAGATTAATAAAGTGGAAATAAATGTATACATAACTGTAAAGTCCTGTAAGTGAGTTCAGGCTGTCACCACTCAGAGCGCAGAAATAAGAGAAGGATTCAGAATCAGGAAATATGTTTGGAATTTCCACAACCAATCTGTTTTCGCAAGTGGCAACGAAAAATTGTCTGCAATGAGAATTTAGGAGTAGCAATACTGTAGTTGACCCTTCTGAGTTTACGATCGTAACTCTATATCACTAAAAATATTTTTAACGGACAATAGCCCGCGTGTTTTAGTTGGGCCTCTGTAAGACACCTGGCATATTGTATCAACGAATTCGTTGTCTATCGTCATCCACACCTAACGAGAAACTGTACCACAGGAAAAGCTACATGAATTGCTAAAAGAAGGAGCATAGGAGTGCATTCCATTCGAACGAATCACATTTTTCACTACATGCAAAACTGCACTGCAGTAAGTGTAGTACTGGTAGACACAACTTTGCTTTGGTAAATACAAAATTCTATATTATATACAAAGAAAATTTACGCAATACATAACCGGTAATGCGCATTTACAAGCATCACTAAAAACGCTTCGAATAAGCCTGATTCGCCAAAAAAAGGCAGCACCATAAAAGTCCAAGCTCAGCATTGTCGCGATGACTGAGTATTTGGATCAGCATGTGGGTGTCGTAGAAGAACAGATGAGGACCATTCTTGTCCTGGTCCTTTAGTATCTAAGGTAAATAAACGACAAACAGTACGATATAGAAACAAATTAGTTTGAATGAAACAAAAAGGACTGACTAAGCTGTTTCTTCAACATTTCAAAACTCAGTTTTCAATAAACTGGCTACATGCAGTAGCGGAACGTTGCAACACAACTCATAATGATTTCTAAACATTTTTATTTACTGCGACTATGCTGTTTTGACACTATCTTCGAATATATCAAGTGGTTCCTTATGCAAGACATCGCGACGTACAATTAAGGGGATAAGGAGAAGAACCAACGATTTTATTAGCCATTGAAGCGATCAACAACAATAGATTATAAATATATGACACAGAATTCTTTATGAATTTCATGAAATAGCAAATAAGATGATTTAAAGGAATCTGATTAACGACAAATCCATTTGTTGTGATAATTCAGAAAACAGTAACTGGATCATAAACGAAACAGCATCACAAATAAATCAAGATATACATTCATCACTTCCTTTTCGGCTTTCTGTAGATGATGCTAGAACCTAGTGGACACCGCCTTTAGCTTAACCATATCTGATAATGTCTCTATTCACTGGAGTCGCATAATCTTTGAGATCTGATCCAGGAATGACGAAATGAAGCCTCTGGGTATTACCTTGGCACAACTATCCTTTATCCCACGTTCGCACCACTGGTCACCATTTAGCTTCTCCCACCCATTCCGAGGTTTAGCAGACAGTGAATGGTGTGCGAACACTCAATAAATAACACGTCTCAACTCGTAAAACTGGTGTTTTAAGGTGACACTGGACAACGAACGATAATCTCCAACACAACCAATCTCACACCTCGGCACCTCATGATTACTTGCACACTGTCAAATGCGAGCAATCCTACGGAGACAACCGTTATGCATACAGAGTTGTCAGACATCCTGGATCATATAAACTAGATTTGAGAAGGGTACGGCAAGGCTACTTAGACGAGGCCTTTTGCATATCACTTTCCACAGCCAGCCCAAAGTCACGACGATGTCGAAAGTGACGGGAAGGACATGCTGCTATTCTTTTCCATAAACAAGCAAAAATCGTATTTGTCGTAACCTCATCAATCAGCTACTAGGAACATGGGATATGCAATTCCTGCATTACTGTCCACGCTACCACACTCCAAATTAGAACGTGAAGATAGAAAAGCAGCAGGATGAGAGATAGCGAAGTAAGAAACAACAGTAATAAAATTAGTAAAAAGTCGGACGAGGAGAGGAATAAACAACAGAACAATGACGAAATTTGGCCTGACCATTAAGGTAATATATACTGCCCTCATAAATGTCGATAGATAGATGGAATAGCTATAGGTTCATCGCTGGACCCCTCACTTGTAGACTTCTTCATGTCGAAGCTACAGGACACACACTCAAGCAGAACGATCGGCCGGTTCGAACTTTATAAGCGATGCGTAGATGTTACCTTCATCATATCCAATAGTACGAATAATCTAGAGGATATCCTGTCTCAATTTAATAACTGTCACCCTTCAATCAGGTTCATATTAGAGAAAGAACTTAATTCTAAGATATCCTTTTTAAATGTGCAGCTAAAAAGATGAGACAATGGATAACTTGAAAGGTCTATCCAGAGAAAACCCACATGGAACGGACAATCAAACGAATTTTCATAGTTGGATGCCTTTATGCACCAAACGAAATCTAATTCACTCTGTGTCATAGGACCCACATTATCTATAGTCCTGATACTTTGAAAGATGAACTTAATTTTTTCAAAAATGTTTTGATTGAAAACCGGTATCCTGAGGGTTACATTGCTAATACTATGAAACTGAAAGCAAATAATCATTCCACTTCTACGGCTTCTAAGAAGCCTCTTTTCATGAGCTTACAGTTCGACTGAGACAAAATCACCAGATCTATTGAGAAAATGTCTGGAATCCTATTTGAGAAAGACTTCCTATACTGCCAAACTCAGATTAACTTTCTCCAGTTACCCAGTGCTTCGATTATGCGTGAAGGACAAGCTAGCCCGCTCGGCCACCTCGATGTGTGTTTATCAATTCACCTGCTACTGTGGAGTAACGTATACATTCCGCACTCAGTGTTCGCTTTTCAAACGCTAATCCGAACATGTACTAGCTTGGTTCCACAAACGAGAAAAAAGGACACTTCACAGCTCTATTTTAGAACATCTGATCGATAATAACCACCCAATGCAGTGTCATTTATACAGTTCGTGCAAATCTCGTGGAAGGTGTTGCGCCAAAAACTCCTTCAAACGGAGGAAGCCATGGCAATTAATATTTTGAAGCCTGAACTCTGTGTTCAAAATAAATTTGTTCAATCACTTGAGTTGCAATAAACATAACCATTAGGAACATTTTTACCTTCCAAAATCTTTTAAAACAGATCTCACATATTGCATTCCCCCACTCTTATAATTCTGATGTCTCTTTACACTCACCGTGTTGTATCATTTAACTTAGTAAGCAAATATTAGTTCCGTCCTGATAAGTCTTATTCTCACTACTACTTCAAATATTACGTAATCCAAATTTTCTTTTCCGATCTCCTCATTTATAATCAAATCTGAACTTCGTTCAAAATATTTAGTGAAACATTGATTTTCTGTTACCGTGAGAACAGAATATTTATATGCGATTGCACAGCTTGAGAATGATATCACTGAAAAAAGTGACTCTTCGCTATACATCTTTTGTTCTATGACTTTTACTGTTGAGCTTAGGACTCCAGTTGAGAGATTGACAACCCACTCTGACCTATCGATCACTGGTAATCTGCTATTGTTAATTTCATTATTCTTGACTGCATACTTTTCTTCGACATGGAAACAATAATCTTTCTCATTTTTATTTTTACGGGTGGTAACTATACTCAACCTTATAATTCTTCCGTCTTCCATCAATGCTAGATATTCATGTTTAGGCAGTAACACACTTGCAACCTCAGATCACTATCCAAGCTGCATTTCATGTCACTTAATATCTATATCCTATGTTGAACCCAACAACGAACCTGACTAGACAAAAGTGGAACTTCAATCCTTGATTGTATATTGCTTTTTCAAGGCACATGTATCCAGATACGTTTCTTCACTACATGAGTCTGGTGAGTCACTCTCATTCATTCTTTGAGTATCTCCGGGTTCGACGACCAGGCTTGCAGATGTGAGGAAAAAGCATACCTTTCAACTGGTTTGTGATTGAAAGCTGCTTCTTGAACAGTTCGCCAAGCATCCATTTATCTTAATTACTGTTTGTCTCTTGGGTTCCTAGTGGAACATAGGGCTTCAGTGGCACGCCTCCATTGCACTCTGTTCTCTGCAGTCTTTTCAACCTGGCACCACGACTGCCCACAAACTTTCATTTCCTCCTCACAACATCTCCTCCATGTCACCCTCACCTCGGACACCCAACTCGTCGTTTCCCGTTTCGCCTCCACTCGACGAACTGGCCTGGCGCGTGATGTCCCCAATCAGCCTTTTCAGTATATGCCCAATCAAATCCATCTCCACTTTCTTCTGCATATTTGTTGGGCGATGGGTTCTTGGTTGGTTTGTTACCAGCCAGCCAGCCAGCCAGAGTTCCTTGTTGCTTATTCTTTCTGACCATCTGATATTCAGTATCGAACGTAGGCTGCAGCTGTTGATGAATGTCTGTAGTTTGTTGGAAATGCTTTTTGTAACGTGACAAGTTACCGAACCATATAGAAGCACTCACTTGACTGACTTAGTGTTGAAAATTCGGATTTTGTTCCACATGCTGAGTGCAGTAGATCTCCACGCTGATTTCAGATTAATGAAGACCTGTCTTGCTGTTTTTCTGATCCCGGCTTTGACACCCTCATCTGTGTCGCCGCCTGTAGTTGGAACGATGCTGCCTACGTAGGTGAAAGAGATTATTTCCTTTAGATTTCTCCCATCGGTGGTGCTTGTTGTTGTTGGTTGGGTATCTTCATCACCTCTCTCTTCTCTACATTCACCTGAACGAAGTCCCATCTTCGCTGCCTCGCCTCTTCTGTCAACTTGTTGGTTTTCGCCTGTAGATCTTCGAGTTTGTGCGACACTAGACACAAATCATCATCGGTGAAATACAAATCTTCAAGGGTCTTTTCATCCGTCCAGCCAGCGTATACCCATCTTCTCGCTCCTCACGGTTTGTTGCATGACCCTGTCCAGTCCAGTTGACCACAATCAGGAAGATCATGGGTGATAGTAGACAGCCTTGTCTTACTCCCGTCTTCACTTCAAAGGTATCACTGAGCTTTCCATTGTGAATCACTTGGCATGTAGCACCATATAGCATATAGTAGTAGAATGACGTTGATAAAGGTTTGTGGTACTCCATATTGTCGAAGCAGTTTGTAAATCACTTCTTGGTGGACGCTGTTGAAGGCCTTTTCAAAATCGGTAGAGTTGAGGTATAATCCAGTTGACTGGCATTCTATACTCTGTTCTATGATGATGCGTAGCGTTGCAATTTGATCTGCACATGATTTGTTCTTCTTGGGGCCAGCCTGTTCCAGAGAATCTTTTAGTCTCTCCAGGATGACGTGGCCTAATATTCTGGTTGGTGCGGATAGCAGTATGATTCTGCGCCAGTTATTGTAAAAACTTCGGTCTCCCCTCTTTGAAAATTTGACAGGGCAGGCCTTCTTCCACTCGGCAGGCACCTTTCATTCCTTCTGAACCTTCTGGAATAGTGGTGTGCGCATGTCCGCTGTTGTCTCTAAGTCTGTTTTCAGTGCTTCCGGAGGAATTCCATCTGGTCCTGCTGCTTTCCGGATTTCGGCAACTTTATGGCGTTCAGCTCATCACTTCTGCTTCTGTTGGAGGGCTTATGTTTGCTGGTAATTCTGTGGCTGGGCTGCTGGTGGTATTTCCGTACGAGTTGCAGGTGGTGATGGTGGTCGACTCAAGTTTTTTGAAGTGGTCAGTCCGTTGTTTCCTTTATTTCTCCTCTTCCGTAACTAAGTTTTCTCCAGTCTTTCATTGGTTTCGCCTGCGCTGATCTCTTCCCAGATGGTAACCTGGTTATTTGATACAGTGTTGTCAGGTCTCTCCTACCAGCAGCTTGTTCTGCTTCACCTGCAAGTGTGTTGCAGAAGTGTTTTTTGTCTTTGCGCACACTCTTCTTCACTTGCTTGTCCAGTGTAGTGTTTTATACGTTGTTTTCAGCTCCTCTTTTCGCTGTTCATCCCTGCACTGCTCTGGTTCATCTTCTGCTCCACCATCTTCCTCTCCCTCCTCTATCAGCCTTCCATGTGTCCGCCGAGATCCTTTCCTTATCTTCTTTCTCCTTCCTTCCTGATACGGTTATGCAGGTTTCCTTCAACATCTTTTTCAAAGAGTTCCAGTGTTCTTCCACACAGGATTCTCCGGGGATGTCTCTCACTGTCGCTCATTTTGTTCTGGTGACTGACTGACGTGAAGATGTCCTTTGTAGTATCGTCCTTCAGTTCAGTTTCTGTTCTTGGTGTTGAACTTGAACTGTGGTCTATCGCCAACTTCCTTGAAGGCTTTCAACTTGATTTCGAAGGTTCATCACACTAGATAGTGGTCTGAGCTTACAGCTGCTCCCCTTCCCGATCTGATCTCGAGTCCAGTAGGCTGCGTCCCCACTTTTTCACATTGAAATGAAGTCGATCTGATTTTTAGTGTCTCCATATGGTGAAACACATGTCGCTTTGCGGATATCCTTATGCTTGAACACAGTGCCTCCAATCACCAAATCGCTGAATACGCGGAAATCTGCAAACAGTTCTCCGTTCCCATTCTTCATTTAACCGAGTGCTTCTTGACCCATGATGAGTTCTCTTCCTGTGTTGCCCACTTCGAGTTTGACATTCATATCGCCCATGAGAATTTTGATATCGCCAACTGAGGTCTTGTCCAGTGCTGATTGCAGTTGTCCACAGAATTCCTCTTTCTTCTCTTGGTCTGCATTATTTGAAGATGCGTAGCGTAGCATTGTACGGTTGTGACTTTCTTTCCTTTTAGGCTGAATCTTGCTGTTATGATCCTGGAGGAGGTTGGTTCCCACTGCATGA